ACTGAGAAGTGGTCTGTGGTCACCACCTGCAAAACCAGTCCTTTATTGGGGGTGTCTTGCTAATTGCCTATAATTTCCACCTGTTGTCTATTCCATTTGCACAACAGCATGTGACATTTATTGTCAATCAGTGTTGCTTCCTAAGTGGACAGTTTGATTTCACAGAAGTGTGATTGACTTGGAGTTACATTGTGTTGTTGTTAATTTTTTTGAGCAGTGTATATACACACACTACCGGTCCAAAGTTTTAGAGTGCCAAGAGTGTGCAAAGCTGTCATCAAGGCAAAGGGTGTCTATTTGAAGAATCTCAAATATGAAATATATTTTGATTTGTTTAACACTTTTTTGGTTACTACATGATTCCATATGTGTTATTTAATAGTTTTGATGTATTCACTATTATTCTACAATGTAGAAAATAGTAAAAATAAAGAAAAACCCTTGAAAGAGTAGGTGTTTTAAAACATTGAACGGTAGTGTGTATAATTTAAAAGTGTCTGTAATAGAATAACATAGAAAAAACAAATGTAATCATTAATAAATGCATTTCTATACCTTCCAAAATATGTTTTACAATGATAGGGGAGTGCCAAGATGGAGGAATGGTGGCTTCAACACAGCAGCCTCTATTAGTCAGTTAGTGTATATTAGTCAGTTAGTGCGGTACATAGCCTACAGCAGGGTTCCCCAACTTACATTTTATTAAATTTTTTAGAATTTTCATTGTTGGACATAAAAGACTGTAAAAACACCAGGAAATCAGCTCCAAGAGATTTTCATTTTAGAAATCTGTAATAGAGAGACATGATCGTATACAAATGTAAGCAAAGGTTTCAATTGATTATGTTTTAGTCTACAAACTATTTGTAATTATGTTCCAGCCCCCCGACAATCCGCTTCAGCCCACGCCTAAGTCTAGTTGATGATCCCTGGCCTACAGTATATCTGTGACATACAGATACAGTTGGATCTCAGTGAAACACATTTTTCAGTCATTGAAATGCTGTGGCGTGTATTCATGGATGCCAAGGGAAGCCAGGCTTAATTTATCCTTTCTCTCTCTGTTTCATAATTTTCCTTCAATTCGCAAGTGACTGAATGTATCTCACTGGAGAAAGCATCCGAGTGAGCGAAACAGCTCCCCTCTGTCTCTGTTTATTGTCTATGCTGTCTGGTCCAAAAGAGTATCACATTGTCGCCGCCCGTAGCATTGATTGCAAGGTAAGCCAGCGAGCATTTGGCCTCCCTTTATCAAAAAAAATAAAAAATAATAGCCAATCAGCTTTGAGCTAAACTGAGTGAGCTCATCTGTGAATGGTCCTGGCATACAAAAAAAAAAAAGTGTCAAGAGAATCGAGAGCATACTTCATTAACAGAAACTCATTGTGCATCTTGTTGTGTTGGTGTCCTCCGGTGGCTAGCTAGCTAGCTAAAATTGTCCCTTTCCTAAATTAGCCATGGATGAAGATAGGGATTTGGACTTGTGGTTTTACTTAATTCTCTGTACTGGCCAATGATTATAATGGCGATTCTGATACAACCATAAATTCATACATTTTGCCCCTTGCCTGAGAGGATGGAAGTTCAATATGTAGCTAGATATAGAAGGCTAATGTTAACTAGCTAACGCTGGTCCATGAAAGGAAGTTAGGCTAGGACAACAAAATATAAAAGTGTGTACTGTATGATAGAGTGATCAACCGTTTCGTTAACATGAACGAGAGGAGGATGGCATTGGCGTTTCTCTACAAGTAGGGTGAGTCAACATGTTTTTTTCTACTTGCACGAACGCGCATGCACGCACACACACACAGAACCATGGAAAGCCACATCATATTTAGCTTACATTGATTGGACTAAATTGTTTTGGTATCTTTTAGTTGTCACTGTATTAGACTAAGCATAGGTGATTTGATGATGTTGACATGTTGAAGTTGAAATAATGCTGTAATAGTGGAGGCAGCTCCTGTTTTCTTTGTGACTTGCGTTAACTCTCTGTTGTTCTAAATCAATAGTTGTTTAGTGGGACGAAAATGTCGGAAACATTAGCTTGCTTGACCAACTGTTTGGTACATGCAATATGCTTTGTAGACTTCACCGGACAGATGTTGCTCTCCAGTTTTGTGATGAAACAAAGGTGTGGTTGAATTTATTCTGCCACTGTGTCTTCTTATTGTCTCGGCCTTAGGCCTATATATCACAGTCACAAGGCATATGAAGTAACAGGTTATAGAGCAAACAATGCAATTATCACACAGGGTTGTAATATGGCTTTTTTTCTGGCTTGGCTTCCTCAGGTGATTTTACCCACGCACCGCTACTGTTGAAATGATGGATAGATTGATTCCAATCGCATATTAGGAAATGAAGAGGTGGGCTGGAAAGAACAGATGTTAGTGTCATATGCATATCACATAAAGTATGAGTAACCTTTTGAACCCTAACACACTAAAGTTGCCCATGGTCTATGTAGCTATTCCTTTGATAACAAGCATCCCACAGGGCAAAAACTGGTTGAATCAACGTTGTTTCCACATCATTGTGATGACGTGGGAATCAAAGTGGAAAACTGATTGGATTTGAAAAAAGTCATAAACCTAAGGGAATTTAGTATTTCAATCCAATGACATGGTGAAATGTTTTGTTGATTTCACATTGAATTCACCTTAGTTGACAACTCAACCAAATGTAAATCAAAACTAGATGTTTGTGCCCAGTGGGATGATTATCTCTCTCCCTCTCCCCTTCTCCCTTAGATAGATAACTGTGACAAAGGCTCACCAGCTCCCATAATTCCACCATTTGACATTGTTGTTTTTCAACCTCACTCAGACGCATCTGAGCTAACTACACTGTGCGCCCTTAAGTACACAAATGTTTGTGTGCATTCATTTGTAAACAAGTTATTGTTTAATTATAACTTTGCGTGAACTTTGCTGATCAGTGGGGCGAAGCATGTCTCCCCTTCAGCGCGTAATTATTCAGGCTAATTGTTGGCCCTGTTCACGGAGCATAAAGCACTGCTCATCCCTCAGCATGGCCATCTCACATGCCTTCATTTCACTGGCTATGTCCCAAATGGCACCCTATCCCCTATATAGTGCACCACTTTTGATCAAGTGCCACTTTTGACCAGAGCCCTCTGGGCCCTGATCAAAAGTAGTGCACTATATAGCGAATAGGGTGCAATTTGGGAAGCACTCACTGGCTGTCTCCTCAACAGAAACATTAGCAGCCTTTTAATGGTTCAATGTCTCTTATGATCCTAGTTGTCAAGATAAAAGCATATGGTGCTGAAAAGGAGGAGGGGGTGGTTATATATTTTATTATTTTATTCTCACGTCTAAAATGGATATAATAATAATAATAAAGACATGATGTTAGCAATTTGTCTGTCTTTACACCGTAAACATGCGTTGTTGTCCCACCCAGTCTGTTCTCCTTCCAAATCAAAGCGGGTAAACGAGATGGGATGAGTGACAGATGTCTACATTATTACACCACAGTCCCTATAAGCACAACACATAAGCCACATAATGACGACTGTCATGGTGAGGCCTCCCTCAGGCGGGTTAGGTTGAATCTCTCTCTCTAAAGATGAGCAAAAAAAGACTATATAAAATAAATAATACAAATGCTGAGCTATATTGTATGCTCAATTTTTTAAAACAATGATATTATTTTATCCCCTTGCTAGAATAACGACACTTAGCATTTTTCTAAAATGCTTTATGAGATTGGAGAACACATTGAGGGATCTTAGACGATTTCTCCATACTTCATTAACAGAAACTCGTTGTGCATCTTGTTGTGTTGTTGTCCTCCTGTGGCTAGCTAGCTAGCTAAAATTGTCCCTTTCCTAACTTAGCCATGGATGAAGATAGGGATTTGGACTTTTCATACATTTTGCCCCTTGCCTGAGAGGATGGAAGTTCAATATGTAGCTAGATATAGAAGGCTAATGTTAACTAGCTAACGCTTACTTGCACGCACGCACACAGAACCATGGAAAGCCACATCATATTTAGCTTACATTGATTGGACTAAATTGTTTTGATATATTTTAGTTGTCACTGTATTAGACTAAGCATAGGTGATTTGATGATGTTGACATGTTGAAGTTGAAATAATGCTGTAATAGCGGAGGCAGCACCTGTTTTCTTTGTGACTTGCGGTAACTCTATTGTTCTAAATCAACAGTTGTTTAGTGGGCCGAAAATAGGGATTTGGACTTGTGGTTTTACTTAATTCTCTGTACTGGCCAATGATTATAATGGCGATTCTGATACAACCATAAATTCATACATTTTGCCCCTTGCCTGAGAGGATGGAAGTTCAATATGTAGCTAGATATAGAAGGCTAATGTTAACTAGCTAACACTGTTCATGAAAGGAAGTTAGGCTAGGACTCTTCAATTCAAGCCACAGGTTTTCAATGGGGTTCCAGTCCGGAGACTAAGATGGCCATTGCAACATTTTATGGTCAATTAACAATTTCTTTGTGGATTTTGATGTGTGCTTGGGGTTATGGTCTTGCTGGAAGAGCAACTTGCGGCCAACATTCAGCCTCCTGGCAGAGGCAACAAGGTTTTTGAAATGTATTTTAAAGTAGGTATGGGTATGCCCCTCCACAAAGCTGAGGTGTTCAGAAAACTCCTGTCTGGGCCACCTACGTACTACTCCCAATGCACTGAACCTGGCAAAGCCTTTTCAAAAGCTTTCCTCTGTGAAACTAGGAAGTATTACGGTGCCAGGTTAGAGTCTGTCGACTTCGAGTGCAATGCGGAGGTGGCTAGGGTTAACATTAACAACTGGGTGGATAAAAAGACAGAGGGAAAAATCCAGGACCTGTTGCAAAAGGGAGCTGTCGACAACCTCACAAAACTTGTTGGTGAATGCCATTTATTTCAAGGGCAAGTGAGGAAAGGAGTTCAAGGAGATATCCACCAGAGAAGCTCAGTTCAAGGTGAGAAAAAAATGAAAGTAAGCCAGTGAAAATTATGAATCAGGAGAGCATGTTCTGCTTGACCTTCATCCCTGAGGTCAGCTGCCAGATTCTGGAGCAATCTGAGCATGCTTATCATGCTCGCGGAAGAGATAGAGGACAAACTGGGATGGAGAAACTGGAGCGGGAGCTCACGTATGATAACTTTGTTGCATGGACCAGGCCCACGTGGGACATGTGCACTTGCCCAGATTGAAGATGGAGAAGACCTGCGACCTGAAAGCCGTTCTGGTCAGCATGGGCATGATGGACTCCTTTGAAGGGTTCAGGAGCAATTTCTCAGGTATGTCACCCAACAACAACCTGGAGTTGTCTTAGGTGGTGCACAAGGCCTTTGTAGAGGTGAATGAGGAAGGCACCGAGGCTGCGGCTGCCACTGCCATAAGGCTGTCTCCCCGATCAGTCATTTTTTTATTTTAATGTTGAAAGCATAATATACGTACCTTCAAAGCCGCCATCCCTTTCTGTTCTTCATCCGCCACAACAGTACCCAGAACATCCCCTTCTGTGGCAGGTACTGCTCCCCTTAAAGTGATGCTAGAGGTTTTGTATAAACGAGTCCCCGAAGACTTTGCACAATTATGTGTAACGTCATCTATTTCATATGATATGTTACGTCCTGTAAAAAAAAGAGATATGTTACGAATTCCAATTCGTACAATTGGACTTTGCCATGCTTAAGTGTGATCGTCCTTGTAAACAATGTTGTCATTTGTAATAATTGTTACTTTATGTAATCTCGATTAACCCAGAAGTAAAATCTTGTGTAATTTGGTCAGCTGCATGATTAACTTCTGGGCCTATACGTGTTAGAAGTTGAGAGTTCCGGCAAAGATGAAGGCCTAGATTCAATCAGATCAAGCGCTTACCGGCGATAGCCAACAGCTGCATAGCTGATGTTTTGGCGATGTAAGAGGTGGAACTGTGTTGGAGCTGTCAAATCATTGTCACGAAGCCACACCCGTCCCACTTGCGTTAGAAGTTCAGAATGAGAAAGTGTAGGCTATATAGGAATAATGACTCTCAAATTGAAGATCATTAAACATGATAGAGGATTTCTATCAGGCTAATCAAGGTGTAGATAAAATGTCACATTCCAGTGTTCGAACTTGTAAACATGGCTGTATGGGTTCTCTCTTAAAGCGACTCGTTGCAGCCAATGGCAATGTGTGCTTTAGGTATAATGCTGGGAGACGCTTGTGGATTTGACAGCTCTAACACAGTCCCACCTCCGACACTGTCAAAACATCAGCTATGGGGATTTCGGCTAAAGAGGATCTGATTGAATCGAGCCCAAAGTCTCCAACCTCGCAAAGCCAAAGCCCCCTCATGCGCAAAGCACTTGAATCGAAGCAGTTTAAGCACTGCCTTCACCCAATCCTGAAACGTCCAAATAACAAAAAAACAGAACTACTGCTGCTTGTTATCTCATCCCATTCAGTTCCAACGGATTCTTTGGTCTACACACAGAAACTGCCTACAAGAGATTATACTGTTATTTTATGTTTGCGGAATTATGTTTAATAATGTAATTATGTAATTACGTTTTAAAATTGCATAATGTTTGCATAATCTTAATTTGAATATTTTGTTTGTAATTTGTGTCAGAAAAAAACAAAACATAACAAGGTTTGGCAACCTACAGAAACATGCATTATAAATCATAAATCATCCATACAATCAGATATAGCCCATTTTGACTTTGTGGCAACCATAAAATCACCATCGAAGGAATAAACTATAGCTTGGACAGAGGGACATTTCCAACAGTGACATCACTGATCCAAGCACTGCTTTTTCACGCAAGCGTGCCAACAAGAGCTGACCTGTGCTGGCTCAGATATTTTATTTTCACATGATCCTTTTCCGCCTAGTTCCAGCAACTATGATGGGTCTGTAACCAGGCCAAGCTTGGTTTGGTTCGGCTCAGTAGTGTGAAAGTTCTCATTATGCCATGCTTAGAAGAAAACATGATATTTGCTTGTTAGACCAGCAGTAACCACAATAGTTCAACATCATCTGTTGGAACAGTTAATATCTGCTCCTCCCTTGTTTAGGGTTCAAACATTTGACATAAGAACTTTTAATTTAAGAGGCAATAATTTAATCCAGACTTTTTTCTTCTAGATTCATCTGGCCTGGCTCTTGCAAAACAAATAAAAGCTAAACTAATTGCTGAATATCCCCTACGGATGAATCAGGATTATAGTTGAGCATGACAGCGGAAAATCAAGCCGCTGCATTGAGCGGAAAGTCTCCATGAATCACGTTTTGTGTGGGGGGACAGGCAGCGGTGGTGGTGGAGCGGTAATCATCGGGGAGGCAGTCCAAATTAATACTTCACCGGCGGCCGCCTCGTTCTCCGTCATTAGGGCACATTACAGGGCCACAATATACATCATTAAACCGGGCATAAACAATTCATTAAAAGGCAGTTAGGGAGACAAGCGAATGTCACTTCTCCCTGTAGTATTAATAGGCAGTAAAACGGCAGAGGGTTAAGGCTAATGCTGCACTCCCAGTCAACCTGACTAATGGCCTCTAGTTGTTCCAGAAACACAAGATGACCCTTTGCCTGGCTTCCCAAACTCCTTGATCCGGCCAAATGCTATGCCACGCCCACGGACGTTAGTTTCTTCTCTGCAATGAGTCTGGATCTGAGTACCTCCATGACAATTTCTAGAACGGAAAAAACATTCTAACCGTTCTGATTGGTCCCAGAAACCGATGGGCTGGCAAGAGCCAGAACACACACGTGTAAAGCCTATGGGTAAAGCAGAGGTTTGAAAATGTGTCATTGGCTTTGTTACTCCGATTGGTTAGAGATGATCCAATCACTGATTACTTTGTTTGGTACAACACCCCTCATTTTGACGTCACCACAAACGACTTCAACGATGGCAATCTGAGACTGAGGTTTGTAGCGAACGAGCAGTGGAAAAAGTCAGTTTGAGTCATCAGGCAAGATGACCCTACCCTTCAATGTAGTTATTTCTGTTGAGTCACCGCTCTTAGGAGATATGCATGATAAGGCACCTCAGAAAAAAGGGTTCTACATGGAAGCCAGAGAACACTGTATTGCACCTTTCTATTTAAAGAGTGGTGAAAACAAGGTGGTGTAATGTCAGCACAACGTACACTATGAGCCATAAATACAAGGCAGAAAAATCTGGCATTTCAATGGATATACAGTTGGGGATAAAGATGTAGTCTCAGTCATCAACCTTCAGTTTATTTAAAATCTGGTGATATTTAAGCACCCAGTTTCGTCATAGTAGAGGTGCAACCTTTTTAAATACTTTAGAGTGGTTATCTGCCAGCGAGTCTTGAGGACACCACACCTGACATTCACACTTAGCTAAGGGTACATTACTAAAGGTTCTACAAATGGCACAAAGTTTGACCACACACACGCATCCAAAACTGACTGGGAAAGGTCAATCAATGCAAAAATTGCCTCTAAATAAAAGTAGCATTACAATGTGGTGAAAATTGTGGTGACTTTGGTCAGCTAGTGACCGGACAAAGGAGGGAAACTAGATTTGTGTAGCAGGATGACAGATTGTGTGTGTTCGTTGTACGAGTGTTAACATTAATATGTGTTTTTCAATAGTTTGCCTGTGCAGGTTACTTTAGTGAGTTTAGTGTGACCAGACCACGTTCCCACAGATAAAATAAAATGTAATCTAAAAAGCAGACATTCACATAACTGCCACTTAATAAAAAGGGAATTGAAAGATGGAGATAAGATTCCGCTTAAAATAAATATGGCTTTGCATATGTCAATCAAGATGACAGATCTGCATGGGTTTCTTCACTGGTCAAATAAAGCTATAGTGAAGGACCTGCGATTTGCTAGTAACTTTGGTAGAGGGCAGGAAGCAAAGCACTACAATCACTGACACACATGGACACCACATTCAGTCATGAATATAAGGCACAAAAATACTTCACATACTAGCTAGCATGTGCTCAAAATGAAACTTCAAGTTTTGCTTAAAGGTAGACTCAGCTATACAAATTTCAGTAGCAGCATGTCAGGCCGATATCCACAACAACAAAGAGAGTGAAGCGAGAGGCTAATCTCCTCCGCAGGAGTTGTCCCTCAGCTATCACATTTGCAGGAGAGTGAAGCGACCTCCCGTGCACATGCGAAGATGCTCTGTATGGGACTGTGGGTGCTCACAAGTACAGCTTTTTGTATAGCGTTTATTCCTCAATATCTTTGTTTCACACTGCTGCTCGTATCGCTGAGTCTCAGTTGAAAGGGAATGCTTTCAATAATATATTACAAGATCAATAAATAATTAAGGATAGTGATATAATTTTACAATCATACAATTTGCACAATATTCAACATCAAATACGCAAACTTTTTTGTTGTTGTCTCAGCATCAGTGCCAAATGTTAATTTTTCTGAACTCCCATAAATGTTGTTGTCTCAGAACAAGCTGTGGCAGTGGAAATCAAACAGGACTCAAATGTTCCTCTCAGAATAAAGGAGGCTCTTCAGCTGGTTTCTGAAAAAATAAAACTTAAAACAATATGAACAAAATAAAAACCCTGAGATTTCAGATTCAGATGCAACATTGAGGTCAGACATTTTACAAATGCGTCACAGGAGGGGTGGACAGATGACAAGCAGCCACCACCAGATGTGTCAGTTACTAGGCTGACCAATTATGAAATCTAGCGGCTTTGGCAGCCATGACCCTGATTTCAACCAGTTTTCCTCTCACATTCAGCGTCTCGACACGAGGAGACTGTGTTGAGGTGTTCAGCTGATGCTCAGGGCACCACAACACTCCTAACCATTCAGTCCACATTATAATAGGCCTCAGTGCTCTCAGCCATCAGGCCCATTCATTCTACCCACTGGGCATCCAGTACTACTCCACCCTGCTAGTCTAAAGTAGCGCCTCCCCCTGGTGTCCCTGTGTCGGTGTCCCTGTGTCACTGCCCCTGTGTGAGGGTGGGGCTGGGTGAGGTCACTGGGTAAAGCTCTTCTTGATGGCCACGTTGGGGAAGAGTCCGCAAAGCTCTTGGACGATGCGGGCGTCCACCTGCGAGCAGAAGGACACATCCAGAAGGAGGAGCTTAGGACACGCCTGCAGCAGCTTCCTGAGGGAGGAGGAGCTTACCATCCGGGTGCCTGTCAATCAACAACACAAACATATCACGAGTGAGCAACATTTATGTGACCACTCAGAAATACATAGATTAATCAGATAGTCAATTACAGACAAATAATAGTGAACACTGTTTTAAATGCTCCAAGTAAAATACTATATTCAAATATCTGGCCTGAACATAAGATTACTTTATTTAAACTTGTGTGAGACACCGAGAGAAAGAGAGATAGATTAAGAAAGAAAGGGGGAGGTAGTACCCACCCAGTATGTCGAGGTGCTGCAATGCGGGGCAGTTGGCAGCCAGCTCCTCGATGTCTGAGTCGCACACGGTGCGGTTGGCGGTGAGGAAGAGCTTCCTCAGGCAAGGCAGGTTGCGGGCCAGGTGCTGGAAGCAGCCAGAGCTGCTCTGCAGTGTGGAGCACCAGCCCAGGTCCAGCTCCTCCAGTAGTCTGCACCCTGCAGCCAGCTCAGCCAGGCCACGCTCCGTCAGGTTTCTGCAGCGCCACAGGTCCAGGGAGCGTAGTGAGCGGCAGCGGACAGCCAGCATGCTGGCCACCACGTCATAGTCCTCTATCTGCAGGGAGGGAGAACACAGGGGTGGTGACCTCAGTTAGGGCTGTTAGCTAACACCGAATGACTGAATCAAATGTCATGATTCTTGGTTGTGGTTAGGAGTTGAGTGGTTAGGCTGATCCTAGAATGTCTATCTGGCGCAAGAGAAGAGTGTATGATAGTGAGTGCATTTGTGGGGGGCATCTTACCATCACACAGCTCCCCAGGTTGAGGTGTCTCAGCTCAATGCAGAAGGTTAGGATGCTCAACATGACTGTTTGCTGCAGCAACATAAACAAAGCAAGAGAGAGAGAAAATGTCACAAAGTTGAGTTACGTTTCTATCAACCGACCCAAAATATGATTGCACCCCTTTTTGTACACACACAGTAAAATGAGACTGAGGAATGTGTATCAAAGGTGTCACGTCAAAAATTACAATAACAGGTCTACCCATGTTATTCAATATCTCTCCAAGATGACTTGGTCTGGCACACACACACACAACTCAACAGTATTAGGGTAGTATAACATTTCAAAACATTAAAAAAACAATGCATAAAAAAAATACTTCATTTGCTTATCACCTATCCACCATCGCTAGAGAGGGATAGAGGTGAGATTTCAATGTGGAACTGTCAACATGCCACCCAATGGCAATTGAGTGTGGGTGACGTGTACTTTAGCAAGCATGGCTAAATGTGTATGCTGTGTGTGTTTCGAGAGTGTGTGTTTGGTGGTCTCTTTTTAGACAGTCAGAGAACTATTTAATTATACCAGTGACAGCTTAATGACAGACAACAGGGCTGGATGACACGTAGCACTGCAGACACACACAGCTTGCTCAGTCTGCCTGCAGTAAACAACCTGTAAGCCTAGACCTCATCCTCACTGCACTGGAAAGACTACGGTATGGTGTCTGCCTTAGAAAAAGGCTGAAACATGACAACACTCAGAAATGCTCTGTAAGGTTTTGTAGCAGGCCTGGGCAAAAACAGCTATGCACCGCAAGGACCCCAGCTCTGAGTTCATTACAAATGATGACAGTAGAGAATTAGTCCTACGTAAACCACAATGGTGCCATCCACAGGTCATGTATCGAACAGGAAACTCAACTACCATACACCACCAATATACCCATATGCATTAGGCTAAAAATAAGGCGTGTTACAACATCGTCTCAATATATGTTACTTAGCAAACGTTTTTTTAACCAAATTGACACTCAATGCAGTGAGTGCATACATTTTTAGTATGTGTATGTGATCCGTGGGAATTGAACCCACAACCTTGGCGTCGGCATCATGCTTGAGTTACATAAATGGGTGCCGAAACGTTTCATACTCAGCCCACTACTGTTTACAATCTATATAAATAACATTGGTAATGCTGTAAAAAATGTATAATTCATTTGTATGCAGATGATACAGTGTTGTATTCCATTGCTACCATCGGTTGGCCAAGCCTTTTCACATTTGAAGTCTGATTTTCAAGCACAGCGGAGGTCACTATTGGATCTAAAGTTAGTGCTAAATGCAAACGAAACATGCTTTTTTCTAAGTCTAATAACCCAAATTTAAAATAATTTGTAATTAATAGTTTGAATGGTACACAAATTAAGCGAGTTCCTTCCTACAAATATCTTGGTATCTGGCTTGATGACAAACTGTCATTTAAAAAACATGTCACTGAGCTGGTGAAGCAGTTGAAGTTCAAGGATGGTTTCTTTAACAGAAACAAAGCATGTCTGACTTTTGTTAATAGGAAGGAAATTGTCCAGGCCACTTTTATGTCCATTTTAGATTATGGGGATATTATCAATATGCATGCAGCAGCATCTACACTTAAACCACTAGATGCTGTGTTCCATTGTGCCCTTAGGTTTATTTTGGTGATGGTTATAGAACTTACCATTGTGTTTTGTATCAAAACGTGGGTTGGGCCTCTTTGTATGTAAGGAGAGAGCAGCATTTTCTTGTGTTTATCTACAAAGCACTCATACAGAAACGTCCTATGTATCTATCATCATTAATTCAATTTAGACTTACAAATTACCAAACCCGGTCTAAGGCTTGGATAACACTGGACGCCCCTTCGGTCTCCACACAGTTGGGTAAAGTTGCTTTTAGTTTTTTTGCGCCCTTTATGTGGAACAACTTACAGAGCTCTCTGAAATTAGATGTTCTGGTCCCCCGTTGGTCAGTTCAGAGTATTGATCGGAGACCTCTATGTTGATAAATGTGTCTGTTTTTCTTAATATGTTTTTATTGTGTGTTTGATGTATTTATGCAGGGCTCATCTGTAAAAGAGACCCTAGTGTCAGTATGACTTCCCTGTCAAAAATAAATAATGCTCTTACCACATTCTTACCAATTGAGCCACACTGGACCGAAGTAGCAATAGCATCACTGTTCTAAACAGCACACCTAATGCGAGCGGTTCCATATGTGACAGAGATTAAAATCTCTGTTAGAAATGTAGAAAGAGGGGAGAATCTAATAGCAACAACTAGGATGGGTTGATAATATGACTAGGATTGTTCCTTTGGCTTCTGGACTATGAAAGAAAGTTTGTATGAAAATCAATAGAACAGGAGAGAAATGCTGGTTAATGGCATGAGGAAGTCTTTCTAAAAGAATTGCCTCCACATTTCTATGGTTGGATTTTGGCTAGGCTACTTTGAAGCAAGGTAAAACCTTCCTCATTATTGGAAGTAAAGTAAAACGTTTAGGTTTCAAACAATCATACTGCCTCAAGCTAACATTGTAAAGTGGTGGGTGATGCGCTGATAGTCTGCCTACCGTTGACTATAGCCTATGCACTTAAATGGCGAAAGGGAGGCGCGCTTTAATTACGAGTTGAGATTGAGAAATACAAATTGTAGATCTTTTTAAAATCGTGGCCATCAAAACAGTTAACATGCGATTGCATTTAGAATTGCTATTTGTTACGCAATGACTGGGCTTATAAAAGCACGTTTCACTCCAGTAGGCTACCAGCTTTTTGTAGGTAACCTCTCTCAAGATTTAGTACAGACTGACACAAAATGTAGAAATAGTAGCCTACTTTGACAACAATTCAGTGAATGCAATTAGATTAGATAGAGACAGATAGAGAGAGAAGATACAACAACTGTTCAGAGACAAAAGATTTGTAGGACAAATTCATATTTCACACTGTCACTTTAATGTTTACATTTAGCCTACAACATGGAACATCTGGAAGCACGGCCCCATGCTACAAAGTGGCACAGAACACGTAGAGCACCAAAAGGAGGTTCCTACACATCTCCCACTCTTTGCCCTGCGTCCACTCCGGAAGCACACCACACACCCTCTCTTGTGCCCTTCAAACTTCACCTGCTTTCAAATGAGTTACAACTCGGTCCACACGCCCTGGTGCCACACTCTTGGCTCCCCTCTTCCTGCCACTGTAGCCATATCAAAGTGAATTCACAAGCTGCATTTTTAATGCCTTCAGGGACCAGCGCCTGTGGTTTCTGGGAAGGGGCCTTTGCAGGGTCCCCCACACAATGTACGCTCCCACAAAAAACACATACTTCCACCATTTTCTGCCTGTGTGTCCAACATTGTAATAGCTCCTCAGTTGGTCAAGATGGTCAACCCCGCCCATTTTATTGTTGTAATCCATTACAAGCTCTAGTGAATACATATATATTTTTTTTATACTGGCCCCCCGTGGGAATCGAACCCACAACCCTGGCGTTGCAAACGCCATGCTCTATCAACTGAGCTACATCCCTGCCGGCCATTCCCTCCCCTACCCTGGACGACGCTGGGCCAATTGTGCGCCGTCCATGAGTCTCCCGGTCGCGGCCGGCGGCGACAGAGCCTGGATTCGAACCAGGATCTCTAGTGGCACAGTTAGCACTGCGATGCAGTGCCTTAGACCACTGCGCCACTCAGGAGTTGATATAAGTTCCTACCACTTTTAAAAACGGCTCCAAAACCCCTGCCACTGTCACTTTAGGCCCAGGCTGTGTGGTACAAGGGTGAATTGTGGGACTTAAGGCAGACACACGTCATGGAAATGTAGGCTCTCCTCTCGGGTGTGCTCTCCCTCTTCCTCAGCTTCTTCCTCCTCTACTCTTTTCTCCCTCATCTTCACTCTCCTCTTCCCCTCCACTCTCTCTCCTCTTCACTCTCCTCTTCCTCTCTCCCCTCCACATCTCTATCCCTCCAATCATCTCTAACTCATCTTCCTCCCTGCCTTTTACTGCCGAGCCCTGACTCTCCACATCACTCCCTTCGCTTCACTGACCTAGACGGAACAGAGTAACAGAGGGAGAGGAGAGGAGCAATAAATACGATACAATTGTAGTCAGGAACATAATCTCTCTCTCACACTGTCTCGCTCTTCCTTCCTCTTCTTTATCTCAACCATTCACATACGCTCTTCCTAATAAGGGGTTTCCATAATAAATTGTGTGATACAGTTAGCAACACGCTCTCTCTCTCTCCTCCAATCAACTCTTGCTTTCTTGCCTGACAGACTAAACTACAGAGTTCACCCTGCAACTATTTCCATGAGACAGAGCGCAATCATTCGAGCTCCACCGCTGGCGCTGATGTGCTCGCCTGTGCCAACCAAGTTATCATGACATGACAGGACTTGCTAATCTGTGAGCTATTCCCCAAGTTTCACAGCATCAAACATCAACAACACCAAACATTTATCTGATGCTTACTTATTTCACTCACCTCGACATCATCACTTTTCAAAGTGCAAGGATGTGTGCAAATCCGTATCACCAACCAACATAGATAAAGCCTCTTTCACAATTAAAAATGTGAATGACTACCTCATCTCTGTACCCCAAACATACAAGGTCCCTCAGTCGAGCAGTGAATTTCAAACACAGATTCAACCACAAAGACCAGGGAGGTTTTCACCAAGAAGGGCACCGCTATTGGTAGATCGGTAAAAAAAAAAGCAGACACTGAATATCCCTTTCAGCATGGTGAAATTACTCATTACACTTTGGATGGTGTATCAATACACCCAGTCACTACAAAGATACAGGTGTCCCTCCTAATTCAGTTGCCGGAGAGGAAGGAAACCATTTCACCATGAGGCCAATGGTGACTTTAAAACAGTTACAGAGTTGAATGGCTGTGATAGGAGAGAAATGAGGGTGGATCAACAACATTGTAGTTACGCCACAATACTAACCTAATTGACAGAGTGAAAATAAGGAAGCTTGTACAGAATTGTATTTTCTAAAACATGCATCCTGTTTGCAACAAGGTACTAACGTAATACTGCAAAAAATGTGGCAAAGCAATTAACTTTTTGTCCTGAATACAAAGTGTTGTGTTTAGGGCAAATCCAGTACAACACATTACTGAGTACCACTCTCCATATTTTCATGTTATGGGTATGCTTGTAATCATTAAGGACTGTGGAGTTTTTCAGGATAAAAAATAAATGGAATGGAGCTAAGCACAGGCAAAATCAGTGAAGACAGTGAATGTTCCTGAGTGGCCGAGTTACAGTTTTGACTTAAATCTACTTGAAAAACTATGGCAAGACCTGAAAAATGGTTGTCTAGCAATGACCAACAACCAATTTGACAGAGCTTGAAGAATTTTGAAAAGAATAATGGGCAAATGTTGCACAATCCAGGTGTGGCAAGCTCTTAGAGACTTACCCAGGAAGACTCACAACTGTAATCGTTGCCAAAGGTGCTTCTACAAAGTATTGACTCAGGGGTGTGAATACTTATGTAAATTAGATATTTGGTGATTTCATTTTCAATAATTTTGCAAAACATTTCTAGAAACATGTATTCAATGTCATTATGGGGTATTGTGTGTAGATGGGTGATTTTTTTTTTTATTTAATCAATTTTGATTTCAGGCTGTAACTCAACAAAATATGGAATAAGTCAAGGGGTACTTTCTGAAGGCACTGTACCTCTATCTTTGTGCGGTAGAGCACTAGCCGGCGCAGGTGGGTGAGCTTGGAGATGTGTGTGAAGGCCTGGGGGTGGAGGCGGTCGCACGAGGACAGGTTGAGCTCCTGCAAGCCGGGACACGTCTGGGAGATGACCTCCAGACACGGTTCACTCAGGAAGTGACAACACGACAGCTCCAGACACACCAGGCTCCCGCCACACGCCTTCATGAAGCTGAGGGGGAAGAGGGGGAGGAAGTCAGACCTGTGTTGTGGCGTGGTAACACAACATTAACAGGGAAGTTCAGGATTTTACAACTTCATGTTAGTTTCAGTTTCAAGTTTTATTAGTTGTATGTACGGGATACACATGGTATACACCGTCCAACAAAAAAATGCTTACTTGCAGGTTCCTTCTCGACAATGCAACAACAAGAAATAATAAAAGGTAAGTATACAAACATAAAGTAAATGGCTCAGTAGAATAAAGATTTGAGCATAATTATAATACAGAAAGGCACAATTTATTGTCCAATATTTCCAAAGATGGTTCCTCACCCTGAAATCAACGGAAGTGATGGGCACACACATGCCATTCTGAAGACAGAGACCAATGAACCACAAATGTCCAGACTCTCTAGCCCACTCCCAGCCAGCCCCATCCCCAATAACTCACCTGCTGAAGCCAGTGAGGGTGAGGGCTCCGCGGTTGCCAGTCCAGGAGAGGTTGAGCCTCTGGAGCAGGGTGCAGCGACCCTGCAGCTGCCCCAGGGAGGTGTCACTGAGGCGGGCCCAGTATGGCTGCAGGCTCAGCTGGATGTACTGGAGGGGGTCACAGCAGTGCTGGTGGAGTAGCTTACAGGTCTGGGCCAGGCGACACAGGTCGGGCAAGGTCAGGTGGCTGACTATCAGCTGGATCAACTGCATGGGGAGAGGGAGGGAGAATTACAGAAAGAGAATAAGAGAGAAGGGAGGATGGTGGGAGAGGATGTAGAGAGAGCGAGAAAGAGAAAGAAATAAAGCAAAATGGAGAAAAAGAGAGACAAGGAAAGCAAGAAAGAAAAAAGTAACCAGAAGGGATGATGTCAGGCAGAGGAGAATCACATAAAAATGTGTAAATGTGGAACACACACAAAGCAGTGAGTTTCAGTGTGGCAATGAATCTGCTTGGTTTGTGCAATATGGATGTGTGCTTCTCTCAGTAAGACAGAGGTAGAGAGAGAATAGGTGTGTATGTGTGCAGTGAATAAACAATACGCTGTGTGTTCAACAGGGTATCAGCTAGCAGATAATAGCTATATTGTATTTCAAACACACACACACGTCGGGTTGTGAGGTGGGATGTGAATGGCAGCGGTTTGGAGAGTAGTACATCAAACCAAGAGAACAGCTGGTGTTTTTAAGCTCGTCTTGGAAAATATTACATCTTTATGACATGAAAATTACTATTTTGTAAGCTTAATATCAAATATCTCCATGGGTCCAAGCCAGTATGTGTAGGTCTATGGGAGACCGCTTTTGTCCAATTAAGTCCTCGCAAAGTGCAAAAATTGCCCAAGATACCCTAAGCATAAACATTTTCAGTAGATGAGACTACGTAAAAATGTATGCGCACATGACTGTAAGTCGCTTTGGATATAAGCTTCTGCTAAATGGCATATTATTATTATTTACACTTAAAGCTGCAATATGTAACTTTTTGGGCGACCCGACCAAATTCACATAGAACTTCTATATCATGTGTTATAGATCTGTCATTCTCATTGAAAGCAAGTCTAAGAAGCGATATATCTGTTCTTTGTGCGCTATTTCTATGCTTCCCATTCTTAAGTGTTCTTTTCTGCATCTTTTACTTTCAGTTTTGTACACTAGCTTCAAACAGCTGAAAATACAGTGTTTTTGGTTATGGAAAATATATCTCACAGCGGTTTAGATAGTACAATGATTCTCTACACTATACTTGCTTGTTTTAGTCACATAAACTGAAATTTAGTGGACAGAAAATGCAGCCAGCAGCCATATACGAGTGTTGTAGTATATGTGAGTGTCTAATAGCGTATTCTCCCCACCTCGTAGGGCAGTTTGTCGAAGTATCCATTCCCCAGGTTAATGTGCTTGCCATCCCCGGCCTGTCTGAAGGAAGCTCCCGGGTCAGACAACTCCTCATCGCTGTCACTCAGGTCACAGATGTCGATCCTGGGCATCTTATAAAGGGAGAGAATGGGCCTCTCCCTCTGGCCTCGCAGGACAACGGCGTCCAGTTCCGTGTAGTACTTTAGCAGGGAGCTGTTGACCTCCACGCGGATTAAGTTGGTGGGGAAGCTCAGCTGCTTGATGCTGGGGGAGAACTGCCTGGCCTGGGGGGTCAGCACCTTGGTGGGCTCCCCAGCCCACAACACCTCCCACCTGGGGACAGACAGAGACAGAGGTACACCTCTCAGAGGTACCCACACACACACCACTCTTTAATCTGAGACAATCACTTATGGCCGTTTTCCCATTCACAAACTAAGCCTAGTCCTGAACAAATAAAACTTGCTCAATGGAGAATCTAAGTGAAAGTGCTTCTTAGTCCAAGACTAGGCTTAATCTGTGTCCGGGAAACCAGCCCACAGAGTACAAACATGAATTTCGTTGTGGTCCTCTGTAGCTCAGTTGCTAGAGCATCGCCAGGATAGTGGGTTAGATTCCCAGGACTACCCATATGTAAAAAAAAAAAAATGCACGCATTACTTTAAATGCAGCCGTTTTTAAATCACAATATCAAATCATTTCTGGGTAACAATTAAGTAACTTACCGTGATTGTTTTCAATTAAAATAGTCAACAAAAAAAAAGCTTCTTAGACTAGAGCAGTTTCTCAAGCAATAATTTTGCTAGGACTGTCGGAATGGTCTGAGTGGGGAGTGGAAAACTGAAAACTAGCCGTTATTGGCAGAGACGTTTGGAACTCTCTTTCTTATTGGTCTATTAACTAATTAATAGTAAAACTCCACTCAACAATTGAGAGCATCTTGACTGGCTGCATCATTGCTTGGTATGACAACTGCACCACCCTCGATCGCTTGGCACTACAGAGGGTGGTGAGGACAGCCCGTACAGCACATTTTGAAATAATTCAGACCACTTGTACAGCCTTAATTTGCTCACACATTCATACGGACTCTACACACGCTGCTTCTGCTCTGTTTATCGTATATCCTGATGCCTAAAACTTCAATTAAACGCCAAGTCTCAAATAGCCGCCTGTCCCTTTTAATAGTTTTTTTCATAAACACCTGTTTCAAATAAACGCTGGGTCTAAATGAATTGCTTGAGGTTACCATGGACACAGCTTTGATATTCCTATGGTCATGTGCATTAAAAACATTTGTAAAAAATTCTGTCATCGTTGCTAGCCATGGAGCCACCAAAAAGAAAACACGACTTCAGTGATTACCGGTACCACTCTCCATGGTGCTGATGGCCGAAATTGGGGTGTTTGATAGGCAGCCTAGTCTTTGCAAGTCTGACCTGCGATGGATTTGTTATTATAATGTTTATACTGGTCACAATAAACAGTGTGGTAGTCTTTTCTAAATGTTATTGAGCAAAAGCTGTATGCATTAAGGAAATAGACGCCTGACTCAAATAGAAGCCTGACTCATTATAATACGCGCCTGTTGTGTTCAGTGATTGAAGCAAATAAACACCCAGGCTATTAATTTAAGTTTTACAGTATATAGGGAAGGTGTGAAAGTGGCTATGTACGAAAAGCAGAGATTTCATGCTAGAAGATTTGGCAAACTACATTTCTACAACCCGAGTCCCACACCACCACTATGGTCCTTACCTGATGTCCGTGGGAGGGTTCTGGGAGAAGGGGTTGAGGGAGCAGGCCATGATCTGGACGATGGCCCCCGGGTGGTAGGTCTCCAGCACCTCCACGGCTGTGGGGTAGACGGGCTCCTCGAAGGCCAGCTCGATGTAGTCCTGGCTGTGGAAGGCCTTGGGCGTGCGGCGGAAGGGCAGCGGCGCGCTGGCACACTGCTCCCACCACGTCCCGTAGGCCCTGAACACGGCCGTCTGGGTGAAGTCCCCAGAGCTGGGGTAGACGTTGGGCACGCCGGCCAGGTTCCACATGGTGTACGACATGCTGTTCTCACTGCCGTAGTGGGAGCTGAAGTCCAGCACCTCTATAGGATAGGATAAGGTTAGTCCATCTGCTTCCAACCCCCCCAGACAATAGCACACAGCACACATTTTGGGAGGAGCACACCGTTTCAGCTCCAGTGCAGCACAGACTGGAATATGTTCTGGGATTCATCCAATGGCATTGAGAAGTATACCACCTCAGTCACCAGCTTCATCAATAAGTGCATCGACGACGTCGTCCCCACAGTGACCGTACGTACATATCCCAACCAGAAGCCATGGATTACAGGCAACATCCGCACCGAGCTACAGGCTCGAGCTGCCGCTTTCAAGGAGCAGGACACTAATCCGGACGCTTATAAGAAATCCCGCTATGCCCTCAGACGAACCATCAAACAGGCAAAGCGTCAATACAGGACTAAGATTGAATCCTACTAAACCGGCTCTAACGCTCGTCGGATGTGGCAGGGCTTGCAAACTATTACGGACTACAAAGGGAAACCCAGCCGCGAGCTGCCCAGTGACGCGAGCCTACCAGACGAACTAAATGCCTTTTATGCTCACTTCGAGGCAAGCAACACTGAAGCTTGCATGAGAGCATCAGCTGTTCCGGACGACTGTGTGATCACGCTCTCCGTAGCCGATGTGAGCAAGACCTTTAAACAGGTCAACATTCACAAGGCCGCGGGACCAGATGGATTACCAGGATGTGTACTCAGAGCATGCGGGGACCAACTGGCAAGTGTCTTCACTGACATTTTCAACCTCTCCCTGACCGAGTCTGTAATACCTACATGCTTCAAGCAGACCACCAAAGTCCCTGTGCCCAAGAAAGCAACGATAACCTGCATAAATGACTACCGCCCCGTGCTTTGAAAGGCTGGTCATGGCTCACATCAACACCAACCCTAGACCCACTCCAATTCCCATACCGCCCCAACAAATCCACAGATGACGCAATCTCAATCGCACTCCACACTGCCCTTTCCCACCTGGACAAAAGGAACAGCTATGTGAGAATGCTGTTCATTGACTACAGCTCAGCGTTCAACACCACAGTGCCCACAAAGCTCATCACTAAGCTAAGGACCCTGGGACTAAACACCTCCCTCTGCAACTGGATCCTGGACTTCCTGACTGGCTGCCCCCAGGTGGTAAGGGTAGACTACAACATCTGCCACACTGATCCTCAACACGGGGGCCCCTCAGGGGTGCGTGCTTAGTCCCCTCCTGTACTCCCTGTTCACCCACGACTGCGTGGCCAAGCACGACTCCAACACCATCATTAGGTTTGCTGACGACACAACAGTGGTAGGCCTGATCACAGACAACGATGAGACAGCCTATAGGGAGGAGATCAGAGACCTGGCAGTGTGGTGCCAGGACAACAACCTCTCCCTCAATGTGAGCAAGACAAAGGAGATGATCGTGGACTACAGGAAAAGGAGGGCCGAACACGCCCGCATTCACATCGACGGGGCTGTAGTGGAGAGGGTCGAGAGTTTCAAGTTCCTTGGTGTCCACATCACCAACAAACTATCATGGTCCAAACACACTAAGACAGTCGTGAAGAGGGCACGACAACACCTTTTCCCCCTCAGGAGACTGAAAAGATTTGGCATGTGTCCCCAGATCCTCAAAATGTTCTACAGCTACATTACCACCTGATTTGGCAACCGCTCGGCATCCGACCGTAAAGCGCTACAGAGGGTAGTGCCCAGTACATCACTGGGGCCAAGCTTCCTGCCATCCAGGACCTATATACTAGGCGGTGTCAGAGGAAGGCCCATAAAATGGTCAAAGACTCCAGTCACCCAAGTACCGGCGCGCCAAGTCTAGGTCCAAAAGGCTCCTTAACAGCTTCTACCCCCAAGCCATAAGACTGCTGAACAATTAATAAAATGGCCACTCTGACTATTTACATTGATACCACCCTTACATTGATACCCACCTTTGTTTTTACACTGCTGCTACTCGCTGTTTATTATCTATGCATACCCCTACCTACATGTACAAATTACCGACTAACCTGTACCCCCGCACATTGACTCGGTACCGGTACCCCCTGTATATAGCCTCATTATTGTTATTTTATTGTGTAACTTTTTATTTTATTTTGTACTAAATATTTTCTTAACTCTATTTCTTGAACTGCATTGTTGGTTAAGGGCTTGTAAGTAAGCATTTCACGGCAAGGTCTACCCCTGTTGTATTCGGCGCATGTGACAAATCCAATTTGGAGCTATTTTAAGGGGTTAGACTAAGTGCCTTGCTCAAGGGCACAATAGCAGGTGAATGATCATACCTTTGGCATACTGTTCCACCTCCACGCTGATGGGCAGGGTGGCCCGCTGGCCTGACTCCACGGCCCGCCTGCTGGTCAGCGCCTCACCCCGAGTTCCGCTCCTGGACCGGCGCCGCAGACAGATATAGTAAAACATGCTCAGAAGGGTTAGCATAGGGAACAGTAGGTCTGGGGAGCAGTGGGCTGGGTGTGGCTTGTGGGAAGCGGCCCCAGAAGCCTGCCTGGCTCGGGGGGTCGTGCTCAACACAGCGCTGGCTACAGGCCCAGCCACATGCAGGACCTGTGGGTTAGGGAAAGAGACAAAAAGACAAGAGTTAGAAAAGCAAGGCAGAAACAGATTCCCCATTGATCTTCAAGAGTGATAGTAGTAAAACTTTGGGCCAATCCTTTTTTCTTTCACAAATTGCTAACAACTAAGCAACTGTATTTGTCTAAGGGAGGATTAGAAATGTACAGAATGGTTACCTGGAGGAAAATGAGGGAGGGTCAAGGGGAGGGTTTAGTATTTATATTTGTATTATAGTCCAGTGGAGGGTCATGTAATTTGTAATTTATGGAATGTCTATAATTCTCTGTGTTTTAGAAGGAGTTGCTTATTAGGCTATATATCGATGCCACCCCTCATCTCTGATTCTCCGCTGGGCGGGCAATAACAAGTGCGCCTATAGGCTATTTAATGTGGTCTCAATTAAGTTATCCATAGCCTATGAAGTGCAGAGCAAAGTTATACTTCTAAGATATCTACTGGGATGGTGAAATAAAACTAGGCTGCATTACACACGGCAATGGATATTCTAATCCTGAGCCCCGGCCTGCTCTGCTCATGCTGATCAAAAACTTTTTTGTGTGCTGCCTAACCAATGGCTGTGCCTAAGGTAGCAGTTCAGGAGGAGTCAACGGCTTCTTCCCAAAAAAAATATTGCGTGCGGACTAGCCTATAGCATATGTTCTGTTCAGTTTGAGAAGGAGAGCGCGAAGATGAGGAGGACCGGAGATCAACTTTGTAGCTTGCTGCTATTACTATAATTGATAATATGAAAAACAATATGTTTCTTACCCATGATGTATTTATCAGAGTTATTGACCTCACAATAAGCCAGATTCGAGTAACTTACATTGTGGTGCTGAAACTTGAAGAAGCATCGCGGCACAATCAATAACTGCATAATTCATTTAAACCATCTTCATTTAAATTTACTTTACTAATAACAAGAGGGCTTTATGTTGGAGCCTATTTCTTCCTATTTAAGAAAGAAGAGGTAGGCCTACCTGTTTGACAGACGAAATTAGGCTATAGGCTGCTACGTCCATAGATTTGTCAGTCAATTCCTCCACCCACCATGCACTATTTAAATAGCCTACCTCTGTGTCAGTGAAGGGCTGTTAAGTTAAATCCAAGACTCAAATTGAGGGGGTATGAGAGGGTATGCCATAGGCCTACCTTTTATTAAAGAAAGGGCAAAAAACAGAGGCCTACCCCTTGTTATCTTAAGATATTGAAGAAAATGAAACGGATCCAATTATATAAAGTGATCTATAACAGCGCTTTGGTCCGCGATGCTTTATGCTGGAAACAAGCTGTAAAATACCCAGGAAAGACGTGACTCTGATGCATATGGGAATATCATTGTTTAGTTTCTTTGACATTCAGAGGCTGAGCTACAACCTTCTATAGCCAAGGAAACAAAAACTAGACTTTGCTTGGAAAGTAATCTAATTCTGTCACTAGCAATTGATTAAGCTATTCACTTTCTGTACATTACAAGATGTTTAAACCCAGACAGCTTTTAGGGAAACACTTGTAACCTTATCTCGTTGGGTTAAGCCACGGAAGAAGAGTAGCCAGCAGTTAAAGCTTACATTTTTCTGCGTCGGTAGGCCTACTCTGTCTGGGTAGGCCTAACATTTGAAAGTACCAAGCTCAGACTCCTATTGACGTCTCAGATTTAATTATTAACAGGGACAGTTTCGATGCAAACAAGACACACTGATTTGGCATTGGAGAAATATGATAATATGAACACATAGGCCTATCTCTCTGTCCATTCAGCCTGTAATTTCAGTAATTTGTGTGGTATTTTAGAACAAATCTGTTCAAATTAAGTAGAATTTCATGACATTTTAATAAAAGGCCATTTTTTCTCGAGCCTGCAAATACGATGATAAGACATACCAGTTAGTGAGTGCATACATTATTTTTTTTATTTTTTTCATACCCCCCGTGGGAATCGAATCCACAACCCTGGCGTTGCAAACGCCATGCTCTACCAACTGAGCTACAGTGGGGGAAAAAAGTATTTAGTTAGCCACCGATTGTGCAAGTTCTCCCACTTAAAAAGAAGAGAGAGGCCTGTAATTTTCATCATAGGTACACATCAACTATGACAGACAAAATGAGAAAAAAAAATCCAGAAAATTACATTGTAGGATTTTTAATTAATTTATTTGCAAATTATGGTGGAAAATAAGTATTTGGTCAATAACAAAAGTTTCTCAATACTTTGTTATATACCCTTTGTTGACAATGACACAGGTCAAACGTTTTCTGTAAGTCTTCACAAGGTTTTCACACACTGTTGCTGGTATTTTGGCCCATTCCTCCATGCAGATCTCCTCTAGAGCAGTGATGTTTTGGGGCTGTCGCTGGGCAACACAGACTTTCAACTCCCTCCAAAGATTTTCTATGGGGTTGAGATCTGGAGACTGGCTAGGCCACTCCAGGACCTTGAAATGCTTCTTACGAAGCCACTCCTTCGTTGCCCGGGCGGTGTGTTTGGGATCATTGTCATGCTGAAAGACCCAGCCACGTTTCATCTTCAATGCCCTTGCTGATGGAAGGAGGTTTTCACTCAAAATCTCACGATACATGGCCCCATTCATTCTTTCCTTTACACGGATCAGTCGTCCTGGTCCCTTTGCAGAAAAACAGCCCCAAAGCATGATGTTTCCACCCCCATGCTTCACAGTAGGTATGGTGTTCTTTGGAGGCAACTCAGCATTCTTTGTCCTCCAAACACGACGAGTTGAGTTTTTACCAAAAAGTTATATTTTGGTTTCATCTGACCATATGACATTCTCCCAATCCTCTTCTGGATCATCCAAATGCACTCTAGCAAACTTCAGACGGGCCTGGACATGTACTGGCTTAAGCAGGGGGACACGTCTGGCACTGCAGGATTTGAGTCCCTGGCGGCGTAGTGTGTTACTGATGGTAGGCTTTGTTACATTGGTCCCAGCTCTCTGCAGGTCATTCACTAGGTCCCCCCGTGTGGTTCTGGGATTTTTGCTCACCGTTCTTGTGATCATTTTGACCCCACGGGGTAAGATCTTGCGTGGAGCCCCAGATCGAGGGAGATTATCAGTGGTCTTGTATGTCTTCCATTTCCTAATAATTGCTCCCACAGTTGATTTCTTCAAACCAAGCTGCTTACCTATTGCAGATTCAGTCTTCCCAGCCTGGTGCAGGTCTATAATTTTGTTTCTGGTGTCCTTTGACAGCTCTTTGGTCTTGGCCATAGTGGAGTTTGGAGTGTGACTGTTTGAGGTTGTGGACAGGTGTCTTTTATACTGATAACAAGTTCAAACAGGTGCCATTAATACAGGTAACGAGTGGAGGACAGAGGAGCCTCTTAAAGAAGAAGTTACAGGTCTGTGAGAGCCAGAAATCTTGCTTGTTTGTAGGTGACCAAATACTTATTTTCCACCATAATTTGCAAATAAATTCATTAAAAAATCCTACAATGTGATTTTCTGGATTTTTTTTCTTCAATTTGTCTGTCATAGTTGACGTGTACCTATGATGAAAATTACAGGCCTCTCTCATCTTTTTAAGTGGGAGAACTTGCACAATTGGTGGCTGACTAAATACTTTTTTTCCCCACTGTACATCCCTGCCGGCCATTCCCTCCCCTACCCTGGACGACGCTGGGACAATTGTGCGCCGCCCCATGGGTCTCCCGGTCGCAGCCGGCTACGACAGAGCCTGGATTCGAACCAGGATCTCTAGTGGCACAGCTAGCACTGCAATGCACTGCCTTAGACGACTGCGCCTACTCTTGTCCACGGTGAACCCACAACCTTCTGGCCCGCAGCCCTGTGCACTATACAAATGTCTGCATTGCCATGTAACGCTAACAGGACAAAGAATTATAAAACTGCATATCTAAGGGAGGGTTTAGGTAAAATATATTTTGCTTAAGGGAGGGCCATCCATTTCTATTTCAGAGGTCCGATTTTCTCCATGTAACCCCTATTATAACATTCACTCCCTATTTTTTTTTGTCTAGAACAGTTTGAGTATTATTCTCTACCTTAGCAGTATGTATGTTTTTTGGTTTGCTGTTTGTTTCTTCACACCAAACAGATGTTTGCTACAGTACTGCTCTGCCACACAGTGGAGAAAATGGGCTAACTCTTCTTGAGAACCAGCCCTGATGATGTCACTTTGGTTGGAGGTGAGTAGCAAATGGCTCAAGCAGAGGGGTATACTACAAAGCAAGATCAATGAGTTAGCCAGCTAACTTGCCTAAATACTCTGAAATAACGTTTTCTTTTTTAGAAAGATGAGCTTGAAATAACCAACAACACATATCTTAGTTTAGCTTTTCTAATGAACCAGCTAGCTGGTTTACTGATTGATTATGTGGTCCTGTGTCGCTCAGTTGGTAGAGCATGGTGCTTGAAACGCCAGGGTTGTCGGTTCTATTCCCACGGGGGACCAGTATGAAAGCAAGTTTCCTTGCAAAGAGGATAAAAACACTTCAGCACCAGATAATACCTCCAAAAAGTATAATTTTCGTTCCATTATTCTTGATAAATAATACTTAATGTTGAGCTGAAACACCAAAGCTTTAGATGTTCCTTCACAGATGTGTGTCAAATTATCTTTCCTCTACTTCCCTCTCCGTGGGCCTACCCCCACCCTAGCCATGTTTGACTTATCATTTTTATAGCTAAAATCAATTTACACAAATTCTTGACATAGCTAGATAAGCTAACCCTACCCCAAACATCTGTCAACTAGCGACAGAACATGCCATTGCAGCAATGCCAGATATAACGTTAGCTTGTTACGTCGTCGTTGTTGTAACGTTAGTTGTTGTTGTTGTGATGTAGCTAACTAATGATTAACCAACTTGTCGCTTTGATGGAACCCACATCAACATCAATCACCCAGGAATGTGGCTAGGTTAGCTGTGTGATTATCTTGACATATGGTGGACCAAAAATCAACCAGTAAAAATAAATATCAGTTCAGCTAAAATTGATGCAAATGCTCACTATATTAATCTAATATTTAGAAAACATGACATGATAATATGACGTTTGTAACTAAATAACATTTAAGTGGATATTGTAGCCAGATAGCTAGCTAGCTAACGTTAGCGTTGGCTAGCATGATTTGACTAGCTTCCAAACGACCAACTACTGTGGCAGACTCAATAATAAGAACAAATATAAAAAGGTTTACATATGTACTTACGTTAACAGTAGATCAAATTAAGCATTCATATAGCAAGACTGTCTTTGTTCCATATCTGAGATTATTTTAGCAGAAACCATGAAACCGCAGACTTTTGTTCTCACTTCTGTTTACATCGAGTATTAATGCCTTTGAAGCAGAGCATTATGGGAATTATAGTCTTTTGTACTGGAAATAACATTATTCTGGGAACCACTGAATGTGTGTGTGTGATTATAATCAGGGCTGAATAAAACATTTGTCCGTCAGAATTGACTGAGAATGTAGTGGTGTGACATTTATCCTCTCCTAACAGAGCACTCTCCTGCCACAACCTGCCTCTGACCTCTCAAGGCAGAGGCAGAGGGACTGCATTGTTGGCTGTCCATCACACACATACACACACACAATCCCTGGTATTAGAGAGAGAGGGAAGAGAGAGAGGGAAGAGAGAGAGAGCGAGAGAGAGGGAAGAGAGAGAGAGAGAGAGAGAGAGAGACAGAGGGGGAGAGAGAGAGAGAGAGAGGAGAGAGAGAAGGAGAGAGAGAGAGAGAGAGAGAGAGAGAGAGAGAGAGAGAGAGAGAGAGAGATTGATTGATTGATTGATTGATTGATTGATTGATTAATGGATGCTTATGGTCATGTCTTGGCTGGCATTTGCATTGATGAATGACTTGTCCAGTCACTTTGTCTCTCTGGTGCATTGAGGCCATATTGTCACCACAAAAGAGCAATGGGTCCCTACGGAACCCTCAGCAGCCAATCACAAGCCAAGCTCTCATTAGCAGGCGTCCTTTGTGGGTGACGAGAGCAGATTAATTACCTTTGACTAACAGAGCTCCATTTCTCTCTTTCTCTCAATGTTAACAATACATAACCCTTTGTTGTTTTTTTGTGTGATAAACACATAATTTTCATAAACATCAAATAATTTTTTTCCTCATTGAAAATGTGATTTAAATTCAATGACCAAATAGCCAAATATATTTGGCATCATAAATTAATTGACACGATTAGCATATTTTTCTTGTCAGACAAAAATTATAAAGGAGAACAATTCAATGTGTTCAATTGTATTATATGTAAAAAAATAATCGAAAAATGTCCTTATATTTCCTTAGAATATCCCTAGAATAGGCTTTGAGGCTGCTGCCATCACTGGCCACTGGCCACTGGCTAAGGTACATTACCAAGACACTGGAACAGAGGAGGGTATCAGAGGAGAAGCTGGTGTCCATCCAACTGCAGAGTTAACGAGAGAGGAAGGGGGTGATTTGGAGCCAGGGGGCACCGGGGCTGCCAGTTCTGTGATTGACAGTCCGGGCTGCTGTCAGCTCCTCTAGGCATCACCGCCGCCCAGCCTCCTGTCTACTGTCAGCCTTTGTTCCGGCCCGCTGTGCCACACATGCATTTACACATGGGTGAGCACACACAAATGCAAATGACCACACACACGTAGACACACACACACACACACACACAAAAGTGAATTTCTGTCCCTGTGCTTTGCCCCAGCTGTCAGAAACTTAGTTAAATAATGAATCTTCCCCTCTCTTGCCTCTGTGGAGAGGCTGAAGAGGGGGTCAGACTAACCTAATGTAAAAGACGTCACGCTGCTTGCTTAGCGAGTACCACTTCTTCCCGATTCGGCCCATACCTGGTGTAAACTCGGGACCTCTGCCTTACTAGCACACGTGATCACCCTCCTGAAGCGTCTTACCGGTCGGTGCCACACAAAAAGCTGGCTGTTCGCTGGCGCAAGTGGGGACACTTCAAGCTGAGGAGTAAGTTTCACACATCCACATGTGCTACATTCACCCCTCAAACGTACTCAACAGCGACCCCAGCGTTGAGCTGAGCGCAACTGTAGATCCTTTTCACGGCACCACTGTAAAGGACGTCACGCTGCTTGCTTAGTGAGTACCACTTCCTCCCAATTCAGCCCATACTGGCGCGAACTCAGGACCTCTGCCTTAATAGCACACGTGACCGCCCTCCTCAAGCATCTTAGCCGATCGCGCCACCTCAAAAGCCAGCTAATGAGGCGACGCAAGCGGGACACTTAAGGCTGAGGAGTAATTTTCACTCATCCACATGTGCTACACTAACATTGCAAGCGTAAAATGAACGCCTGAATGGGATGCCCCACATTCTGGTCCTAAAGGGGGGGGGGAAACTGTCGGGGTTGGTTCTCTTCTGCACTGTTTAAACAATCCAGTAAATGTGGAGGAGGAGTTCAGATGGAGTGTCGCCTTGTTAATGTCCAAAAGCGAAAGTCGCATCACAGGCTTTCTTCCATTTCCCCTGAAAAACTGATGCAAGGTGGGGTCAAACTGACAGTAGAGAGAGAAGCCACTCTGCATAGAGTTATAGCTATGCTCACCTTCACAAGCAGCCTCAGTCAAGCCACATGGGGTAACATCTCATGGGGTGCATAGAACATCTAGCCATGCCTAGTGCCCATCCACCTCAATATTAGCATAGAATCTGACCTTACCTGCCTTACCATAGAAATAGATAGGGTGCACTCAATATGGCCACCAGTCCACCCATCATAAAAATTGATTTGATTTGAACGGAATGTCCAGTCTAGTAATTATATTTCTATGTTCACCAACCCTCATTGAAGTTGAATACAGAAAACAGACAATGGTAGACAATGTTGCAATAGTTCTGATGTATTATTTCCATGTATGTAATTTTTTTCTCACGTCAAATAAGTCAGCGATCAAATGTCCCAGCTATTAGAAACTTGACTTCCAGGTGCCAGTATGTTTATTATTCACATACATTTAAATGAATTTGATATCCCAACAGGTGTTAACAAATGTATGCTGCACATCACCCCAGCATGATGCTCGACTGAAGTCACATCACAGGCTGCTACACAAGGTCTCCTCTACAAACACAGAGGGTAAAGAAAGGTGAAGAAAGACTGAGGTTGAAAAAGAGAGGAGGTGATGTGTAAGTGGGGAAATAAGCAGTGAATGCAGTAAATAATAGAGGATGGTAGGTGTATACTGTATCAATATGAAGAATAGAAGAGAAGATGGAGGAAAGGACAAGAAAGTGAGGCACAGAAACACAGCAAAAGACACTCACTTGAAATCATACACATTTTGCATTACAACCAAGGGAACAGGAGGCTTTTAGTGAGGTTATAGGAGGCAATGCTAGGAGAAAACAAAAAGCACTGAAGAAGAAGAAGAAGGAGAGCATTCTTTGCATTTCTGAATCTGATATACTTCAATGTGCATTGAGAATGCTTAGCAGAAGAAGTTACACTTCTTTTGTAAATAATGGTTTGTCCAAATCCAAGAACAATATAAATATTGACTTGACGGTGGCAATAGCCTTTGCATTAAACAATCATTAGTATTAGGCGATTCCTTTCACCATTCATCAGGGCCAACCTTCATTTGTAATCATTTATAAGATATCATTCCATTAATTATGTCTTAAATTCCAACCTCCCAATCAAAATGATCCCATATCTAGCATTTGACTCCAGTTTTAAAGGTTGGCAATACTATCTAAAGAGCATTTGAAATATTTCACCCTGATTACAAAAGCTATCTGGCTTTTTTGTCTAAATGACAGAATCTGCAAATATAATTAGCACAGGATGAAATACAGCAAGATAGCGGAAGAGCTGTCATCTCCTTCTGCTATTGTTTTCCAGTGCGCGTCCTCCAACTGAACTTCATCGCTAACTCTTTAATTGGTTTCAGGAAATCGGTTGCGATGAAAAGTCATGACCTTGATCTTTCCTTTCGATATATATTTTCTTTTTGCCTGGTACATGCAAATAGGAGGTGGGTTGGGGTGGAAAGTAAACAGACACAGATTGTTTCATTTTATTTTGTGTTTAGTGGCTGATTAGAAGCCTAATTAAATACAGTGTAAAAAAGAGTTCACAGGCACACAGAGGAGACTCTGACCCTGCAACTTCTAATAGACTCCAGAGATCCACTAAACAAAGAGATTATTAAATGCACCCCGGAATAAAGAGCATGTACTCAGAGTCTTTAACAAACAACCATCATTAGACCTTTGTTATTATCAGATCCTGTTCTTCATTTACTTTTCACCTAACAGCTGAACATTAATGGGGGTATAAAGGAAAAGGAAGCAGACCAAACATTAGCTCATTAGGTTGGTGATATACTGTATATCAACTTGCCACTGTTCCAGCTGATGGCAGGTTCACCACACACACAGTCAAATGTCATGCCTAGAACAGGAAGGTGAGTCAAATGTGCTTGTAATGTAAATTCATAAGAATTCATTAGATTCATATTATGACCCAATGGTGAAAACAAAAGAGATTTGAAAAATAGCCCACAGTTGGATTTGGTCAGCGCTGATGTGGGGGGGGGGTTATTGAGTTTAGGGGGTGGGGGTTCTTGAGTATAGGGCTATGCAGGACCCTAACCTGCAATATCGTTAATAGTCTCAACCCAATAAAC